AAAAATATATATTAAACTATAATTAATAAACTTTATTTTAATATAAAAATAAAAATTATTTCTTAATAAAATTATAACTTTTAATATAGAGAAAAAATTTTAATTTTCATTATATTTTATTAATAAATTTAGTTTTTGATATATTACTTTTAGTTATTACTATATATATAATTTATTTAATAATTTTTTTAATAATTATATATTTTAATAAAAATTTTTGTAATTTAAAATTATTAAATATAATAAATTATTTATATTGTATTAATTAAAAATATTAAAATAATAATTTTATTCTTTAATTTTAATTACTAATAAATATTTAAAAATTTAATATTTTTAGAATTTAAAAATTTATATAATAATTTTATTTTAAATAATTATATATAAATTATATTATATAAATTTTATAATTTTATTAAAAATATTTATTATAACTTTAACTAAGAGTTATAATTTATATTTATAAAGAATGAATTGAAATTTAATAATAATTATCTTTTTAATTATTTCAAATATTATATATAATATAAATTAATATTATAATATTTATTATATAATAATTTTAGAATATATATATTAAAATATATTAAAAAAATAAATTTAATCAAATTATGCAATAGAAAATTAAAAAAAATATAAATAAAACTAATATCTCAAAATTTAACTATTCTTTATATTTAATAAAAATATAGTGAAATTTAAGTTTTTTAATTATTAAATAGTTATAATTAAAAATTTCTTTATATATAATTATATTTCTCTACAATCATTCACTTTTATTTTCCAAGTGCAGTGACTATAGAAAGGTTTGACTATAATCTTATCTCTGACTCTAATTTTATTAATTAATAGTTCATATCTTACATTTTGATTGATTTACCTCTTATCACGTGATAGTCCGGTTCGTGACTGTTATAAAAAATTTATGTAAATATGATTAGAGTCAGAATTATGAAAAATTTTATTAGTAAAATTTCGAGATACTAAAAAATCATGGGACGTGTCCCGAAAATGCGATGGTGGATTCGAAAAATAATTTGTTGAAAATATCACGGAGTTCAGATATAATTTTGATTTATACTTTTGTTGATGCGTCATTTCTAAATAATACTTGTATCTTATTTTGAGAATCAATATCTTTTAGACGAAATTTTGAAACAACAAAAGTTTCTCTTTCAAAATTGGTGCAGAAACTCGAGGTATTACACTTTTTTCTGTTCAAATAAAATTAAGAATTTTCTTAACTTTCGCTCTATACGTTAAAGGACACGTCCAACGAGTATGCAGAGCAAATTAAACAAGTTCTCCCAAGCATATCAAAAACGGTTTTCCGAATATAAGGTTAGAGATTGTTAGATTATTTAACCATGATATTCTGATTCCTTTCCTTCTAAGTCCACAGAAAAAAATGTATTAGAGGTGTTTTCAAGACAACAGTCAATCAGCAAAACGATAGAACAAATTGATTTTGACAGTGTAAATTTAGTTTACCTTTAAACAAATGTTTCAACGAATTCTTCAATTTCCTGAAATTTATCCTTCAACACATCCAATTCATAATTCATCAAAAATTAGTTGTTTATATTGATATATCGTTTCGTATTAGCACACTGATGAGGAGAGCAGTAAATTAGCTAGTTTTGTATTTTAACTCTTTAATGTATAATTCGCTGTTTGTTGTTTTATTCATGTCAGATTTCAAAGAATTTATCTTGGCTAAAGCTATTGGAAACAAATTTACTGGGCTATAATATTACCGTATATGACTGAAAATAAGAACCCCGAAAATCGTCAGTTTGAAATAAAAATCAGGAAGTTTCTTATTTTTGAGACTTTTTGATTTGATGTCCCGATTTATTATGCAATAATGCACACTAGCATATTGATCGATAAAATCCATAAAATATCCATTTCTACCCACAGAAATGTAAAAACGCCTACTGGTAATATGAAGATTTTATTTTTTTTTGATGCGAATATGTAGCTTCCGAGATATGTAATTATAGAATGTAATAAATGCATAATGCAAAAAGTCGAAAGTTTCTTATTTACAGGACTTATCGTTTTATCGTAATTTCCTTCAAAAACCAAAAGTTTCTTATTATCGGGGGTTGCCTATTTTCAGTCATATACGGTACTTACGTCTCGTGAGCTTGGATGAAAGATAATGCATGCAATTAATTTCAAATGATATTGATATACGTATCGGTATGGCAACAATGTGAAAGACAACTCGTGCATGGTTTTTAAATGTTAGCTTTTTATTCTATAAATATATTTCAATAATAAGATGCCATCAAACACTATTACAATGAGTAAAGAAAATGATTTAACTCAAAGAGTTGTCTTAAATGTTGGCGGTATCAAGGTAATAAATATACTACGAGAAACTAATAGTTTATTAATTGCCATGTTAAAAAACCGCAAATCGTTATGTACATGTATACGCAGTATGAGACTTTACGTTCAACGTTGACCGCCTACCCAAATACTTTACTTGGCACAATGTTTGCGGATCGAAACGAAACTCTTCTAAAACCTGAAAACGGCAACGAATATTTTTTCGATCGCAATGGCCGTGCCTTTCATTACATTATGGAATACTATCGTACCGGCAAGCTTCTTTTCCCTACTCTATCTGATAACTTAACAAACAATTTCTGGATAACTAAAGAGGAAATTCAAAAAGAACTGGATTATTTTCTTATCGGTGGGCTATTTGAACAGGAATTTAAGGAAATGCATTTGACCTTATCGAAACATCTTAATACGTTTGTTGCTTTGATTGAAGATTCAATATTGAAAAATATACGAAAAATGGAAAATATATCATGTTTTGTAATGTTTTTTAAGATAAGCGAAGACCCAAAGAACGCTAACAATACTTTGACGAATTTTCCGTTTGAACACAAGATCGCATATCAATTGGCAAGCAATTTTAGCACCGAAATTTCGAAACATTTGCAAGAAATATTCACGGGTTCAAAAGTTTCTTCGACGTCAAAATTTGATGGTCGAACATCATGTTACTGGGAGTTTTACATAACTCTAAATTATAACAAAGCATTCATTTTAAATAATTCGAATCTCAAGGTGAATTTTTGAGTAACATGTTTTGAATTTGATACTTTGTTTAAATGCATTTAATGATTGACGATATTATTAGATCTCTGGTTCTAAATGAACTGGTTTAAACAGTTATTCATTGTGGGTTGCGTTTTTGTAAAAGAAATGCCTATTTTTTGAGAAAATAAAAATTTTTATTTTGGTCATTGGATGTACAGTTTATCAAATTGAACACTGAAGATAGTCCAGCTCCAGTCAAGTCAACCATATGGACTTTAACGCACCAGTGACAAATGACAAGAGAGCAGTTTCTGAACCATCTTTATCCAAATGATGTTCATGGCTCACAGAAGAAACGCAACATAAAAAGAATTACGAAAAAAAGTTTTGGTGCCGCCAATATCGATCAAATGTACCTCATTCCTATACTCATTTTATTACATGAATATTTTTAATTGGTGAAATTTTAACTCCAAATATTTTTGTTATCAGGGAGGATCGAAGAAGATTGACCTAATAAAAGATGCGCTTCTTGAAGAGAACTATCTTTATACCTAGTTTCAGCTAAATTGGCACCAAATTCTTAGATCCCGAAGTAGGTCAATCCTTCCTGATAACAAAAAATATTAGAGTTAAAAATTCACTAATTAAAAATATTCATGTTATATCACTTAATTTCTTTAGAATGGCAGTCATCCTCTAGGTTATTAGATTTAAAATGAGTATAGGAACGAGGTGGAGGCACCAGAACTTTTTTTGTAAAAACTTTTCATGTTGCATAATTAAATTAACGTTAAAATAACCTATTTTGAGACTCAGAGTCAGATTAAATGATGGTTTAATAGATCATGCGCTATATGTATGTTTTTATTAAATAATTGATGATGTAAACCTACTTGGGCTTAATTCATGTTGTGCTTGGCTGTGTTATGAGCTAATTGCAAACACTAACACAACACAATGAGTAAAGAAAATAATTTACCTCAAAGAATTATCTTAAATGTTGGCGGTATCAAGGTAATAAAATCTATTGTATGAAATTATATCCATGTAGTTTATTAATATGTAACAAATTTTTATATACATGTGGGTAGTATGAGACTTTACGTTCAACGTTGACCGCCTACCCAAATACTTTACTTGGCACAATGTTTGCGGATCGAAACGAAACTCTTCTAAAACCTGAAAACGGCAACGAATATTTTTTCGATCGCAATGGCCGTGCCTTTCATTACATTATGGAATACTATCGTACCGGCAAGCTTCTTTTCCCTACTCTATCTGATAACTTAACAAACAATTTCTGGATAACTAAAGAGGAAATTCAAAAAGAACTGGATTATTTTCTTATCGGTGGGCTATTTGAACAGGAATTTAAGGAAATGCATTTGACCTTATCGAAACATCTTAATACGTTTGTTGCTTTGATTGAAGATTCAATATTGAAAAATATACGAAAAATGGAAAATATATCATGTTTTGTAATGTTTTTTAAGATAAGCGAAGACCCAAAGAACGCTAACAATACTTTGACGAATTTTCCGTTTGAACACAAGATCGCATATCAATTGGCAAGCAATTTTAGCACCGAAATTTCGAAACATTTGCAAGCAGTATTCACGGGTTCAAAAGTTTATTCGAAATACGAATTTGATGGTCAAACATCATATTACTGGACGTTTTGCATAACTCTAAGTTATAACCAAGCATCCATTTTGAACAATTCTAATCTCAAGGTGAATTTTGAGTATTCGTAATTCTGTAATTTGTTTAAAATGCATTTACTAACTAGTGGTGTTGTTAGTTCGCTTAAAGTTATTTGTTATGCGTATCGCAATACAAGCTGATTTTCTTTCTTTGTAAAAATTGTTTGTATCTACTATATTTTTCGGTAGACAACTGAAAATAAATATATTGAGTGAGTCTAATAAAGACATAAATCATTGATTAGATTTCACCAATTTTCCCTTATGTAAATAAAATCTTGATATTTTCCTTGTATATTATTATTATAAACATCCTGTTAACACTTTTACAGCATCCTAAATGCATTTTATGTTTACGGTGCAGTAAATCTAAATTCATAATTCTGATTTCGGACCAATCTAAATTGGAACTATCTTGAAAAAAAAGATATCCCAACGAAAATAAAAGCAAGCTTACAAAATTCACAGAAAAAGTGCAGGCAAACATTCGAGTTCTTGTCCAAAGTTGCCTCAAACTCTAATAAAAATGTGGATCTTTCTTGAAGGCTCACAGGATCCGGAAGGATTGAAACATGACATAACTTATGCCACCAATCTGAACGATTTCAAAAAGAATTCTCGTTGAGAGTTAAAGCGAAATATCGGATTCTTAGATAACAACACGCCTCTTCGACTGAGTGTTCCTAGTTGAGAAATCAACTGACATAAATCCACTTCTTGTTCATTATCCTCTCAAATGCAAACAGTAAGTGAGGCTTTATTTCCTTGGCTTTGTTTTTCCCTCTAAGTTGATTAATTCCAACAACTAGTTAATTTGGATATTCAAGTACTAACTGAGATGTAAAATATCAAATGTAGCGATCTATATATTAGTAAAAAATTAGGTATATATAATGATTAATGTGAAGTTCAATTATTTATGTTGTTCAGGTAAATGTAAAATACTACATACCAATGGTGCCTTAAGTTTGTTGCGAGAAGTCGCGATTCTTCTTTTTTCACTAATGAAATAAAAAGATGAGATTGGAACGAGTAAACTATAAAGTTAAATTTCAAAGCCGTCTCATGTTTAAGACCCTCGTTGTTGATACAGGGAAGTTTTTTGAATTTTTCCGTTACACATTGAGCTTGAGATTTGATTGGTTTATTTCTTAAATCACATGACCAAACCTATTAACGGATGCCGTATAACAAGGGTTGACTGCATTGCGAAAAAGCTTGAGGTGCCAGTTTAAACTTGAATGATCTTTTCCCGTTAGAACCATGAACAAGTCAAAAAATTTTGTTTGGGAACTTCAAATCAATAAAGTATTCAGTACCAATAAGATGATTGGGTCATACATTTAATAATCGCAATTTGACATATAAAGTTAGTACATCTAACAACGGTTAAAAAAATCAAAAGTCAAAATGTGGGTGAAATCTCATTTTTATAATCAAAGACTACCTTAATACAAAAAATAATTCATGCAGACATGAAATACATATCGCAACAAAAATTTGCTATCAATATATTGCACGTTCATTCTGGCGATTAGCGATATTCTTTTAATTTTGATGAGTTCCAGAATTAGGTGCAAAGATAAATCAGTGACACAACATGTTCACTATTCATGGTAATTTTTTTAAAACTAAGACAAAATTTTTCATTTATCATTTTTTTGGCTAGTGCATTGACGTTTTAAAAGATGTTCTAATGTTCAGCTTTGCTTTTTCTTTCAACTTACAATTTTGTTGACATTCATCCAGAAAAAAATCAAGAATGAAAACTTATTGTAAAACATAATTTGCCATTATTCAAGTTTTACGAATCAAATGCTTTTTGACCGGAATCGAGTCGCCAGCAGCAAAAATTTTAAATCATAATACTAGATATATTTTAAATGTATTATACGATAAGAACGGCTTCTGGATGAATCAACGCTCCATTAATGCATCAATAATGCCCAGAAAATGGCAATTTATTTGCGGAAAGGTAGAATCCAACGAAGGAACTGCAGCAGCCAGTTGTAAGGGAACCAAGGAAGAATCCGGATTATTTCGTCTTCTCAGAAGAAATAAGATTCCTCGGAAAAGAATACAACTGCGAAGTATGGATAACATTACTTAGAAAATGCCCCCAAGAACATACGAAAACGAGCCCTCGGCAAATACATGTCACTAGCATTCCAAAATTCGAAAAAGACATCTTGCGGGAATTTGAAATTAGTATAAAAAAAATAATAACAGGTTCTTAACAGCTTTGTCATAGCTGACAAAATAAGCTCGGCAATGTAGTAGAAGATGCAGAATGTCAATGATAAAATTTTTTGTGACACAGAAAAAGTCAAATCATGTGATTCCGACTTGATATCAAATCAAACCGTTATTCTCTTAGAGATTCGGTTAGGGATTAGGTTAGGATTAGAGTTAAGATTAACGCTAGTGCGTAAAATTTCGCAAGGAACACTTTTTTGTTAGAACATAAAGACAGTTTCATAGGCAATATTTTCGAGATTCAAGCTATTTTATAATTGAACTTGCGATTGGCTAAGGATGATTACTATCAGTTCGGAGACAGATTGATAGTACCACCTTGCTTTAGTGTACCCCAATTTTTGGAAACACAGCTTCATTCACAATCGAAGAACTGACGCCAATTAATCATTATGACATTATTTTTTCGAGTTTGTTAGCCTTTTTCTAATTATGACGAGTGGAATATACGTATCACCTAGTCTAGTCAGTACACGCATATCTTCGGTTCTTTTGGTTTATTTTGTGCGACAATCAAAACTTTCGCGATTTCACTTGTTTGTATGTGTGACAGGTATTCATTAGTTTAGTTACATTTCATTATAAGTTCATGTTGTCAATGATTTTTCGTCGTAATTATTGGATCACAAAAATCCACCGTATGTCGGATATTATGAGTGAATCAAATAATATTGATAACCTAACGCTAAACATAAATTCCACGGCAACTTTAAATTCTGGACACAAAATTCCATTATTGGGTAAGAATGTCATCATCGGGATTAATTATTAATAGAATCCGTGAAATCAATTTCAATTAAACTTATATAATTGAATTCAGGATTAGGAGTGTATCAAGCGCCGCCAGGTGTTACGACTGAGAGAGCCATTTCATGGGCATTAAAGGTTCACTTGTTACTTTATCATAATTAGATTCTTTACCTAAGATTCATGACTTGATTATGATTCATCTTAAATAATGTATGTAGGCTGGATATCGGCATATAGATACTGCTGCATTGTATGGAAATGAGGCAGATGTGGGAATAGCAATCGCATCAAGGTACCAAAAATCTCACCTATCAAACGTCCAGAATATAGTATTTTTCAATGACGATAAAGCAAGACACCTATAAATCATTGTAGTGGTATTCCACGTTCAGAAATTTTTGTCACTACCAAAATCTGGAATTCCGACCAAGGTTATTCGACAACTCTTCGCGCAGCAGAATCCTCCTTAGCTAAGCTTCAAACCGACTATATTGATCTCTTACTCTTACATTCACCGCTCCCGGGAAAAAAGAAACGACGTGAGAGTTATCTGGCGTTACAAGAGCTTGTGGCATTTGGTAAAGCGAAGAGTATTGGTGTGTCTAATTACGGGGTGCATCATTTGACTGAAATGTTGGATGATCCGGAAATTACTATCAAGCCTGCTGTTAATCAGATTGAGGTTTGTTCATGGAAGAGATTGAATTTGATCTATGTCTGGAAATTATTTGTCTTGGATATGGCATTTCTGTGTTCCTGCTGATTAATGATACGTAGATAGATTTAATTGATGGAATATAACTCACTTTTACCTTTGTAGGTTCATCCATGGTTATTGCGAAATGATATTGTCACGTTTTGCAGAGAGAATGATATAATAGTTGAAGCATATTCACCTTTAACAAAGGGACTAAAATTAAGAGATAGAACATTAGTAAAAATTGCAAAAAAGTATCACAAATCTCCCGCGCAAATCTTAATTCGATGGGTAAGGCTTTATTTAAGAATCTTTGATGAAAATTCTTGTAAGACTAGTGGGACTAATGGCAATTTTATTGTTAATCATTTGTCGGATGCTAGAGTTTACAAAATAATTTCGTGACATTACCAAAAAGTGTCCACAAAGAACGTATTATCGAAAATGCAAACGTCTATGACTTTAAAATTGAAGATGAAGATATAGAGTCGCTGAATGAATTAGACGAGTATTTTGTTACTGGTAAGCGGTGTTTATTGGGATCAATTTACTTTATTACTAATTATTAACGCCAATTATATGATGCAGGGTGGGACCCTACAAGAGCAGAATAGAGAGAGGAAGAAATGTTGTTCATCGATATATACGTAGATATATTAATAATTTTATTGTTAATTTAATATTTATTTAACAACCCAAATTATAATAAAGACTATACATTACGCCATCAAAAATTGTAATGCTGCAATATATTCTAAGAAGTCTAAATTCGAGCTGATTCGTGCACAATATGCTGTCGATTCACAACCATCAACAAACAATCTAAAGTTGAAGCAACGGAAGATATTCCGCCAAGCTTATCTTCTGATCCAATTGACAATAATAACAACAATAATAAAAAACCAAAGAAAAAAAAAAGATACAAGTGCTCGTATCAGTTCAAGACGATGACGAAGATGTGTACATTTAAATTTGAACGTGATAAAATGCCAAATTAATCTCAATAAAATTTTTTGATCAAATCATTAACTAAATTATACGCTAAACATTTTGTTTTTTGTGACCGACCGCAAGAAACACAAATATTTAATCAATTCACTCGTTACTCAACAGATCAATAATCCTCCGTTATTATCGATCCTAATAGAAATCTTTTAATTTTGTGGCGGGGAAATCAACGAAAGGTATGGCCGCAATTTCTGGCCCGCCTTCACTTCTCTCTGATTTAGACTTTCCTTTCTTTAGAACATATTTGTCGTATGCCTCTACGTCCAGGGTTTTCGAGCTCTTGTACTCACGAAGTATATGAGGCTCGCTTTGTTGTTGACTGATCCAGAATGCGGAAAGATATGAGGATCGTTTATCGACATTTTTGTCATCGAGATCTGTGCCACGCATAACTTGATAGAATTTTGTGAGTTTTTCTTCGCATCCGTCAAGATTCTCAATTGGTTCCCAGCTATATGAGTTGTTGTTTTTGTGGGGGGTGTGTGTGTGTGTGTGTTTGTAGATTTGATTAGTTCACAGTAAAAAGAGTGTTGGTTTACGTGAAACTAATGATCTTACGTTTCTTTTGTCCAGCCTTTCCATTTGACGGAATATAATTTACGCCCCTAATAATAATAATGATAATATCAAAGATCCATTATTATGTGCAATTTTTCATCAAATGTCATACGAAGCTCACTTGCATTTTCTGTTTTCATCGAATTAATGCTTTCTACTTCGTATCGATCTTCTTCCATCGGGAAATCATCATGCTCGACTTCTTCCATCTCGTCATCAACATTCTGCTGTTGTTTCTCTGCACCATAGTTCGAGTATCGACGATCACCTTTTTGAAAATTTTGTTTTGAAGAACACATTTTACGTATTGATCAAATGCCGGAACAATGAATAGTCTTGACACAAGGAAGCAAAACGAACGCAGAAATTGCTGCATTCTTTCTTCGGTCGGTCCCGAACTATTTAGTTCACCAAAAACGATTTAGACAAACGCAAACTTTTTAATACCATAAGGAGGCCGTTCGCTACTTCCATCTTGTTGGGCAAAGCTAAACCTTTTACTTCTGCTTGACATTTTTAAAAATTTTGGTCATATTACCGCAGTAGATTCTAACTCAACTGTGCATGGTGCGCAGCTTTATAATGCGCAGTATTACTAATTAAGAAATAAATAATAATCATCCAGATTTGGGTTACCAAAAAAGAAGTCGCGTTTTAGATTTTTGATATAAAAATGTGGCAATCAAAAATTTTCTCTACCGACAAAAGTATCCAGCAATCGATAAGAACTAACAAAACAAAGAACCAAACGAACCTACCATGGAAATCAAAAGAGTGCTGGTGAGGCGTTTTAGCCACTAAAAAAACGCGGCATTATTTGGTCATTAAAAATATTTTCTCTTCTGCGTGAAAAGTTAATAGGTCTAGGGAACTACACGCACCCCAACACGCGTCATAGCATAGGAATGTTATTACTAGATTACCTGGCAGAACAGTACGACCTAACCTGGACACGACATAAGAATTGGCCGGGGTGCGTCGCGAAAACCACAATTTCTATACAGCCACCACCATCACCAAAAAAAGTTAAACAGAAAAAGCCAAAGCAAGATAAACATTCATGTGAAGATAGTAATAACGGTGCATGTGAAACTCCTAAAATACCATCAGAACCCGAAAATAACGTGTTGATGGTTAATGAGAATCAATTAAATGGCAATAATAATGATGCTGCTGTAACAACACGTCCTACAACCACAAATCCACCGTCGTCATCAATAATACCGAAAAAGAATAATGAAAAAATTTTGGTTTCTCCATCGCCAATAATACAATTAGATTTGACTCTAATGAAACCGAGTTTATTGATGAATATTAGCGGGAGATCAGTTAGTCAAGCAGGTGATTGTTATCATTAATTTATCGTTCTTTTAAATCTTTATTATTAATATTGATTTTAATGATAGTTAAAGAACTTCGTTTTTCTCTTTCAAATATCATTGTCATTCATGATGACATGGAACGTGAACTCGGAAAAATAAGTATAAAGAATGGGGGAAGTGCAAAGTAAGGTTAATCAATTACTATAAAAGATTTATCCAAACGGATTTAGAATCATTAACTAATTAATTAATTTAATTCTATAATGATAAAGCGGTCACAACGGAATCAAATCACTAATTGATTGTCTAAAAACAAATGTAAACATTCAACGAATAATTATATCATAACTCTTTAGCCTTGTATTAACCACTCTCTTAATCTAAATAGCAATTTCGTCGACTCCGAATTGGTATCGGTCGACCGCACTCAACCAGCCGGTCGCATGACGTAGTCTCAGACTACGTGTTAAGTCACATAAATTCTACGGAAATGCAAACATACAAGCTTGATGTATTCCCAAGATGCCAACAAGAACTATTAAAATTCTGTGCAGAATCGAAAAATGGCATCAAGGAGATTTAATAGAAATCAACGCTATGTAGACTATTTATTCATAGAATTAATTTAAATCCTTAATATAATATTTACAGCTATTTTAGATCAACAAAATTTACAATAAAATATATATATGATAAACTGAGATATTCTAAATGCTCATCTCATTCATTGTCACTATTTACGTAAATAGACATCCTTAATTCCTTTTCCTTCTTTGTCCACTCGATCATCGCCTGGCCAATTGTAACAACTGCCTCGTCGGCAAACTGTGCAACACGTTCTTTGTAACTAATTATTAATGGATGATACAGAGCATAAGTTTCATATCCGAAATCTCTGATTGCTTGAAGCTGAACCGCGAGAAATTTCGTGACATTTTCAAGGACATGAGGGAAATATAAAACCCAAGCTTCTGAAACATTGGCGAAGACGGACCTTGAGATGCTTATCAAAGTATTTGTAAAAGAGGTGAGATGGGGGTGAATTGATTGATAAAACAGACTTAAAAGGTTGAATGTCACGCCAAATGTTATTAAGGACTGGTGCCAAAGATACACAAGTGTCACTACGCTCCATGCAAATGCGGCTTTTGATGTTCGGATCGTGGCTAAAATCACGACGAGAATAACAGTAGTATAGAAAATACCAAGGCTTGTAATAATAGGACGTATTAATGGACCGAAAATGGCCCATAACTTTTGGCATGTCTCGATTAAATTTTGTCGAGCAAAATAATACACAGTCGTGGAAATCTTCTTTAGATTCGCGTGAATGATAGGAATAGCACGTAAAGTGGGAATAACAATGTCTTTTGACCACAAAGAAAAAATGTATATATCGACGTATGCATAGGAGATTCCTTCTATCGTGCCAAGCATTGATCTTCTAACATTCTCTCCAATTTCTGGGATAAGGCTGATGATCTTTTGTTTAATGCGGGAGAGTAAGGTTCCCTCGTAAATAAACAAGTAAACACTTTTGATGGTAGAGCGAATAATCGGATCTTGCAAAATTTCAATGAAAAGCCAAGTCGCTTCGCAAATACTAGCAAGGATTAAGTGTTTATACAAGAAGATAGCCAGTAATATTCCGCTTGAGATTACTTCTTGATACCAGTCAACTATTAATTTTTCGACAAATAGAGCAGTAGGATACAATATTTTGACCCAAGCCGTAGTTGAAACTTTCCATGTAAAAATACAAAGATCTCTAAAATCTTCTGATAAATCTCGTGCAAGAGAACATGCACAAAACCACATGATTCGTTGTAGATAAATCGCTCTCGGAATGATCCATTCCACTGGCTCTACCACCAACGCATCGAAAAGCCGAACCAAGAACATACAAGCAGGGTATCCAACTTCTCTCCAGCCGATTCTTAAAAGTTGAACGCTGCTTCTATAAAGTTCTTTTGCTAATACTTTACCGCTCTCTGCCACATCAACAGAAAATCGATAAGTAACAATGCTACAATGCTTGATAACAGGCCACGCGCATGTTTGCATCCAATCAATGGATGCTTTCGCGAATCGGAAAAACGGTATTTTAATGTAAGAATGAAATCCTGCGTGAATCGCCGATACAAACTTCGGCATCATCGTAGCACTCCATTTAATAAAATCAATCAAATAGTATACACTTGCTTCTGCGATATCTAGCGAGTAAAATACAAATAGTCTAAAGGCATCCCAGGCAATTCTTACAAGTAAATATATGAAGGCGATTGGAATGAATGGAACAAAGACAAGAGGGTTTTGTTGTTGTGGTATGATGTTTTGTAAATTGGATGATTTTCTCTTTTTTCTTGTAAAAAATGCATCACGCAAATGTCGCCAATTTCGGTAGTCTTTTATTGCAACATAAAGGTACAACGAGGAAATTAACAGAAGAAAGATCGTCCAAAAGAGTCTTGACGTACTAATAGCGCTGTTATGGGGAGAGCTTTCGCTTGAATACATATTTGCAGAAGTTATATTTATCTCCATTTAATATTGCTTGCCAAAGACTTCTATTTATATGCATGCCATTTCCCGCATTTCCGCAGACAAGTTTACCATAATTTATATAAAATATTAGTCATCATTAATATCTCAAAAATGTATTGGCTGATATCTTAGCCTATAACATTCTGGCACGAAAATTTATAGAAATATCGTACGACTTGAACGCGTAATGGGACGCCAAGCGGATTTGAAAAATTCCCTTTTATATATTTATAATAAATAATGTCCTGATTTTTTAACTATCGCTTGATTTTGAGCCTCTGATTTTCTTCCCGCAAACGTTCAACTTCTTCCCGAAGTGCCACCGATTCCCCACAATACTTCAGAAACATCATTTCCATTTCAGTCTGGTGCATACAAGAATTGATCACATAAGTAACAGTAAATAGCACAAACATAATCAGAGGCTTTACTTACTTTTTGTATATGAAACTGTCGAAGTAGTTCCAAGTGCATATTTTGTATATCATTTCGTAATGATATTCTGAATTCATGTAAACAATCTTCAACAATATTTTCCAATACTTGGTATTGAAATGTTGGAGTTGTGTCATTATTATTTCTATTTTTTGTATGATTTATACCAGCACCTCCCTTAATAGGATCTGTAGAATCTCCATTCAAGCGTGCGAATTCTCCAATACTCTCTTTGACCTTTGACACAATCTCATCCTTTAGCTGATCCATAGTCGAACTTTTAATACCATTCACTTCATTCTGATTATCTTTTACAGGAGCAAACATGTCCATATGATGCTTGTCCTTTGCTGTTTCATTGGTGTTGGTGGAAATTGAGGGAAGAACAGATGATCGTGATTTAAGAGCAGAGAATTCATCCTTCACCCTATCCATAGTTGAACTTTTAATCCCATTCGCTTCATTCTGATTATCTTTTAAAGGAGCAAACATGTCCATATAATTCTTGTCCTTCGTTGTTTCATTTGTTGTGGTGGTAGTGGTAGTTGGAGGAACAGATGATTGTAATTTAAGAACAGAGAATTCATCCTTTAACCAATCCATAGCTGAAATTTTAATGCCATTAGCTTCATTCTGATTATCTTTCACGGGAGAAAACATGTCCATATAATTCCTGTCCTTTATTGTCGTTGTTTCATTGGCGGTGATGGTAGTGGGAGGAGGATCAGATGGTCGTGACTTGAGAGCAGAGAGCTCATCCTTTAGCCTATCCATAGTTGAACTTTTAATGCCACTCGTTTCATTCTGATTATCTTTTACGGGAGAAAAAATGTCCATATAATTCTTGTCCTTTGTTGTTGTTGTTTCGTTGGTGGTGATGGTGATTGGAGAAGAAGGAGCAGATGATCGTGATTTAAGAGCAGAGAATCCTTTAGTTGATGTAGGAGAAATAGCACTATTTGTAATGTCTATTTGATTCTTTTTTTTTGATTCACTTGCTGTTGCTGAGGTGGTAGAAGAAACAGTAGTAACTGATCTTGATCTAGTATGAGCAACAGCAGCAGTACTAGATGTTGATCCTTTAGATGACGTACGAGTGTGACTCCTTGTTCTTGTATTCGTTGGGCGTCGTAATTTATACTAGTTTATAAATTCATAAATTAATTACAAATCAGAATTCATAAAAAGAAGCTCTATCATCTAATTTTACCTGAAAATGAAGAGATTGAATTGGACATGGTTCGTGCCACAACAGCGTACACATAGGCTTGCTAAGTGAACGGAGATCATACACAAGAATTTTACCTAAGAAAACATTATGAATACTGTCTTAGCTTAAGAACATCAGGACAAGTAATAATAATGGTCATAATAATTATAGTCATAAACGAAGGATACGATCTAAATGCTCGTCACCTTTATCTGTGCCTGCAGCTAAGGTATGCCCATCCGACTTGAAGGCTAAAGCCGTTAAAGGAAACTCGATGATTAGAGTTTTCACATCCCTGAGATATTATGAGCAAATAGGTCAATGCCTTATCACGTATCGTGCGTAAAATCACAAACACGATTTAAAAGCTTACTCTTGTTTCCCCACATCATAAAGCACAATTCTTCTATCAAGACCAGCACTGGCCATGAACGATGAATTATGAGGTGAGAATGCAATTCCCATTATCGAATCATGATGTACACTATCAAATGTCCGAATGGCTGTCGTGGACACACAGGTATCCCATAATCGTAATTTTCCATCGCCACCACCAGCTGCAAGCAAACCTTGCTTAAAGTAAGAATATTCAAGAGTGTTGATCGGCTATTTGGTCACAGTAACATGTTAAGAGTAAGTTTAAAGAATATATGGAATTCTAGTAATAAAAATATTCTTATATAATACCTGATTCGTTAATCCTGTCGTCAAATTATTTGCGCTAGACTTCTGTCGATTGTGTACAATAATATTTCCATTAGAACTAGAACTTGCAATTAATGTTTCATCAATATTCAAATCCAGACATATTATCGTGCTACTGTGTCCCTTAATTATTGAGAAAGTGTAATTAATAAAATAGAATGATATGAAAAAAAAGTTTAAGACTTTATAAACGATAGATAAACACAAACTTTTAATGAGTTACTAAATTTTTTTTCTTCCACGTCCCATTCGTGCACGATATTATCTGATCCTCCAAATATTAACCGTCGCGATTTGTCAGCCCAGCGAAGTGTATTGATGTCAGGATATTCCTATAAAAATAATGTTAATAATCAATCAAGCGAAAAACAGTCAGACCAACAATTTTGTAACTGTACCAGACTATTCAAAGGTATCGATTCGATACGTGCTCCTTCTTGATTATGTATTGTTATCGTGCTCTCATTACCGGCCACGGCGAGAAACTGATCTTTGAATATAAAATCATCAAGAATAAAAAGCTAGAGTTCGAATGTGAGGAGAAATAAAAAAAAGGATACTATCATGATTCCATCGCACACAATTTACAGCGGTTGAGCTCAAAGGCATAAAAGAAGCGAGTTCTACACCATATAGCATTTTGTTGTTGGCTGTCGCTGTTTCTGTTGGAGAAGTACCATCCTTCTGAGTTGTCCCATCAATTTCTCTCAAGTCCCATATTTTAACATTTGTTGAGCCGGAGGCTAAATAACAAGTTGTCATTTTGTTTTATTTTAATGTGAGAACAGCTAAAATGCGTACACCTATGTGTGTTCTTTAAAATTCTTATAGATCTCAAACTTCAAGATCCTAAAAGAGTATATCAAAATGGTGGATGAATTCTTTATTGAATTCGACTCGCAGAACGTTTTTTTATAGTAAAAAATATACCGAATTACGCGAACATGTATCTCGACACGTTATATTACCTGATTTTGGGAATCTTGAAAAATTCCATAGTAACACAATGTAATCATTGTTCTTGTTTCTATTTGTCACGTGATAACTACATTGCGTATAAATTTATTATTATCAATTTTAAAGAAAAACATTATAAGAGATTGAAAAATTATATCACTATCGTGAATCTAACTTTCATGATAGCGATAGAGATAGTGATGGCAGTTATCAATATTTTTATTCTTTGAAAGAGATGCCTGGAATGACGAGAAGTTTGATTTATCAATTCCAAATCACAATTTTTGTGTAAAATTGCTTTTTTTTTAAAAAATTCATTATCATTGATAGATAAAAAAATATGCATACATGTAAAAATTTTTATATATTATATCCAGCCCACCAATTTTCTTTTCTGTTTCATAGTTTCTAAAATATTTTAAAACTTTTCCACAAAGAATGTGGGATGCGAGAGAATTTACTGATGACTGATCAGAATACAAGGATATAAAAGCAAATTGAAAAGATAATGTGAGTTTATTTGTTCTTGTTATATTTGCTTTCCTTAAGTGAAAATGAAAATTAATAAGGTTACTATTTTTATAAAATATTATGTTAATATGCAGTGTAATCAGAAAAAAATTATCTTTGTTTCTGAAAATAGAAGTAGAGTTTTTTATAATCAATTTTTATATAAATTAAAGTTAATAATTATTTGAGAAGATTCTAGATTAAAGATAAGATTTATTTAAATATATATTTTTTATAAAAAAAAATTTTTTTACTAGTAATAACTTTTTTGAATTATTGTTTCATAAATTTTATTATATAAATAATTTAATTATTAAATTTTGAAACTTTAATTTTTTATAATTACTAATTTAATTCTTGTAAAATTTGAAATATATTTTTATTAAATATAAAATAATTTGCTTGCATAATTTGAAGTTTTAATATTATAAATTAATAATAATAATATTAGAGTAATTATTAATTTTTATTTTGAAATATAAATCTTTTTATATTGATTTATATTTGATTTAAAATTATATAATAATTAATATTATTAATTATATTATTAGTTTTATTTTAATAATATTTAAAAAATTTTGTATATTTAATTAATATTATATATTATCATATAGAATATCTGAATCTTAATCAATTTTAAGAGATAAAAATACTTGTATATTCTAAAGAATATTATGTATAATAGTAAATATATAAAAGAAAAAATATATAAGAAAAGAATCATGATTACAAATTCAGATTATTAAGATACATTAATAATTTATCTTTTTTTTCTAATATATTTGATAATTTCTTTTTTTATATATTTAATTATTAAATATTTTTTTCAATAAAAATATATTTTAAAGCTGATAAAAAGTAATTCAAATTCAAATTACTAAAAAATAAAAATATTATTAGAATATATAAGAAAAACTTATCAGTTTAGCTTATCTTAAAAAGTAATTCATATAAAATATTTATGCTATAATAACTATATTTAATATTAAATTCAAGCAAATCTGTAATTAATATTAAAAATATTATTAAAATATATAAGAAAAACTTATCAGTTTAGCTTATCTTAAAAAGCAATTTATATAAAATATTTATGTTATAATAACTATATCTAATATTAAATTCAAGTAAATCTGTAATTAATATTAAAAAAGATAAGATTTTTATAAATCTCTTTATATAATTAAATAATAATTAGTTAGAAAAATATTTTTTATTAAAAATAAATTAAGCAAGTAAATTAAATAATTTAGAAAAAAATAAAAATTAGTATTATAATATTTATATTAATAATTTTATATTTTTTAATAAATAAATTAATAAATTTATAAATTATAATTTTTAATATTATATTTGTAACAAAATTAGATTAGTTATTAATATTGTTACCGTTTTAAGATTATGCGTATGTAATTATTTTAAAATGGTAATAGTGACTATGTTCACAGCAATTGTTTACTTTTTATAGATCCAAGAGAGTTATACAACTAACTATTTTTCTGAATAAAGTAATATGTGTAAGATTTATAACTGATGAATTATGATTATCTTCTCAATAAGATAATTTATACGTGTTTTACTTTTTAACAAAAATATGATTATCTTCTCAATAAGATAATATACGTGAATTTACTTTGACCAAAATGCTCTCTCAATAGAG